TACACAGAAATACACCATAATAACATGAATCAAATATGTACTTTATTCATTTACATTAAATGTCATAATGTACATCATTCTGATTGGAGCTAAGGGCATACACTGTCTAGCAGAAGGTTCCAGTAGCTCCTCCTAAACAATCAACGGGAGTCTCTGTTAACTCCTCTAAAAAGGTAAATTTGGTAAGTAGATTAGCACAGTTGTTTATTATTATTGTTTATGGTTTGTTATGCTTGTTGTGCATTAGTTGACTAATGGTTTATGCAGTCCTTCATTTTGAAGCGGTTGGATTCCAAGGATGTTCAACCCAACACAGATGTTTCAGGGGTCAATGAGTTGGGTCATGAGGTAGGTGATGTTTGTTATTCGTTGGTTGTGTTACTGATTTGTACATGTACAAGTCTATTGTACTGACTGCTTGTTTATGGCTTTATCACAGGTACCTTTTGTTGTGTATCCTTCTGGCACGCTAGAGACGCCCTTTATTAGACGCTTGGTTGAGTAGTTGAGGGCACTACAGCCCCCAGTCCCGACTCAAAAGTTGCTGTAGACGTTGCGGGTGGTCAACAACGCTCCTGGTGTTGAGGTGCAAGGAACGGATCAGACAAGTCAAGCGACTGTGGGTGCAGACACGGCAACGCATTGTGCAGAGTTGTCTGTTGTTACTACCATCGGTGTTGAAGTCCCCATAGGTGCGGAGTGCCAGAATTCGATTGAGCCTGAGTCTCCCATCATAGCGGTTGGTGCTCCTGGAGACGCGAACAGCTAGTCTGGAGACGTTGATGCATGGCCTAAGGTCAATGACTCTTTTGAGCCTGAGGTCCTAGTTGACTTGGAGTGCCATACGGGGGATGGGGACACAGTGAAGGGATGAGAGATCCATCATATGGATGACCAAACCCTGTAGGAAGGTTGGGCGAAATTCCAAAAATTTCTCTCTCTCCCATCTGGGAATTGCATTCCCTATTTTAGAAAACTGCATTTTCAAGGATCAATCTTAAACCAAAACCAGACCAGATCTGAAACAAAAGAGAGGAGAGGGATATACTTGATACGAAGTAGCAGTAACTCCCAATGAAGGTGTTCATGCCCAAGGAGAAAACCAAAACCCGCTTCCACTGAAGATGACACAGTGTGTAGTGAAGTAAGATCAGCAGGACGACTCTTCAGCAAGAATGTATTAGAGGGCTGGTGAGCACGACTTCAGATTGCTTCTTCTACCAAGAAGCAATATCAAGAACAATTCTTGATCGCTCCCATAAGTGGAGATCGAACTGGGTAGGGGCGGTAAGAACAGGGAAGAACTCTGCAGATTGTTGTGTTGTGTAACTGAGAAATTCACCCCCTTTATTTATAGCCTTTTCAGGATCAGCCTCTTAATCCAATTAGGAGAGAGTTCTTTAATCCAAATATGATATTTGAATCTAGACTCTTGAATGGATAAGACTTATCTTATCCTTCAGCTAATCCTAATCAGATTATAAATCCTATCTTGCCTCCTTTTAATTAACTAACTTAAGCCCAGTTCGATATAAATCTTATCTTCTTCCTTTTTTTTGATATATATTTTGCGTATCTTATATCAATAAAGAAATGAATGGGGTTGCTCATGAACTTGCTTACAATGCATGTAAATATAATAGGATAGTTGAAGATTGGAGCAACCAAACAAACACTACTGTATTGTCTATATTTTAATGAATATGTCGTTTTTGTTGTGCTAAAAAAAAAAACACATGGGATTAACCTTAAAAGCTAGTTAACTCCAACAAACATTGTTTCAAAATAGAAAAGACTAAATCACCAAATTGAATGGCTCGACGTATTACACCTAACCAAGGTTAAAAATATCAATATGCTTAATACATCGATAGGGGCGTGTCGGGCGATATCAATACTTTTTTTTTAATTTTTTCAAAGCTGGTTCAGGGGGCCGGTTTAAGGCTCCTCCACTTCTTGAATTGGTTAGAACCTCGATACGTCCTCTATAAGGATGTATTGGAGAGTTCCTAGAATGATATGTATCGACCGATATGGGTTGATACGTGTCGATACTTTGAACCTTGCACCTAACCATAAAAAGAACACTCGCAACATAAATAGCCCGCCTCAACTGGGCCATTTCTCTAATCCTCTCTTGCTTATTGAAAGAATAACTTTTATCAATAAGCAAGGGAGCTAACAATAATCGTAATATTGAGGAAAGAAAATCATACGAGTAAGCTCTACTATTAATCAGGATTCTAGTTTGGTGAATTAGTGAGATTAATGGGATTACGTCATATTTTAAATCACAACATTAAATTCTTCTTTCGTGCATTACATATGTGCATGTAAGTTGGTCCATTCCAAAAATTCAAGAGAAACAGTTATTTTGCAAATCCGAATTTTGTGTACAAAACCACCAGATGTACATGTACATCAGTATTGTGGAGATTGCCATGAGGATCATGACAATACAAAGGTGACCACCAGAGAACCTGAGAACCTATGATGAGCACTATATTCATCATCAAAGATGTCACAAAAATGCAATCCCAAAACTCTGTGATGATTTGAGATCGAACAAGAATGGCAATGGCACCTTCGATGCTCTCGTGAGAGAAAGTTGTAGTCGTCGACCATGTTTATGCAAACTTGATAGCAGAGCCTACTGTATGGATAACTGCGACGGTACTCCATTACCACTGATTTTTGTTATCGAATAAGAATATCTTACGATCAACACATGGTTGCAAGTAATCACAAAGAGTTGTAGCCATGCACGTGCCTACATGAGGGTCTTAAGAGACCGGAAACTTGATCCCAAGAAATTCTCATTGGACACATGGTTAAACCCTAAAGGGACTTATCCGTTAGGTAATCGGTGAATTATAACCAACTTTCTGAGATAGGAAAGCTCCCTTAATAGCCTTAGCTATTCATCTATAAGAGGGGAGGTCCGAAGACCTCAACACTAAACCTCTTCCTTATACGCTCTCGGTCCTCCTCTGTACTTTAGGGAGATCAACTTCCTTTGCCTTATCACCTTGCCTACATTTATAATATAATATAGTCTTTTATATTTATTATATATTATGTTGGATTTTAATCTCATAAGAGATTAAATCCAATGGGTTTGATTGGTCAATTACATGAGAAATTGTACCTACACATTTGATTTAAAAATCAATTTTCTCTTATAAAAAAAGAAAAAACCAGTTTTAAACTTATCCCACATTAGATAATTATAAGTTTTGTTTTCAGTATTTCAATAAGAGTTGATTTACATTCCTTAGAATTAGTAGAGGAGAGTATGGGGATTCGATACCGCGCAACGCGCGCGCACACGCGTGCGCGCGTGTGTGCGGCGCAATGAGGCGCTTTAGAAGCGCACTTTGCTCGCACTTCGCGATGGGCGGCTCTGGTTTTGGTGCGTTGGTGACCGTTGATCACCGTTGATGAAATCAACGGTCACGATTCGATCGGGTGTGATCAAGAGGCACAATTCAAAGTTAACAATCACTAACTGTTAACTACTTTTTGAACAGTCACAATGTTTGAAATTGTGACTGTTCAAGGTGCCTTCTCTAAACCAGCACCTACCTTTTCTTCATACCTCTTCACAAATTATTTAAGGAGCATGAATCAGACTCCAAATCACACAATTTCAAAATTCACTCTCTCTCTCAGTCCGGTCTGCTACAGTCTCACAAAAGGTTTCTTTGGAGACTCTTCAACTTTGTTGGTTGCAGATTCTCGCCCAAGGCTCTGTTGTATCCTGGGAACGAATTTGCCTGTAACCCAATAGCAAACTCAGTAAAACTAAGTGGGGGCAAATAACGTTCTAAAGACTGTGTCTTCATACGCGCCTCAAAGCTTCTCCTCCAAAGTTATAGTGACCCCATTCTTCCCCAACATATTATTTGTTATATATGATATTATGAAAATCAAACAACCAAAAAACTGATGAACCGAATCGACGGTTAACCAAATCGATCAACTGGTTTACTGGTCGACTTTGGTTTGGTTTTGATTACTAGTTTTTCAAAAACCAATACTACCGGTTCGATTTAGAAAAAAGGCCCACGGTTCGGTTAACCAAACCGTGAGCACCCCTAGTGTTACTCAAGTAATATAAAACAAACAAGACCTAAGTCAAGATTTGAGTTAAATTCTAAAATATATGATTAATAAATTCAATCTTTTATATAAATACCGTTGACTTTGGTTTGGTTTCAATTACTAGTTTTTCAAAAACCGATACTACCAGTTCATTTTAGAAAAAAAGGCCCACAATTCGATTAACTGAACTATGAGCACCCCTAGTGTTACTCAGGTAACACAAACACAAACGAGACCTAAGTCAATATTTGAGTTAAATTCTAAAATATATGATTAATAAATTCAATATTTTATATAAATACAAATTCATTATATAAAGGGTTGTTTGACAAGTCTTTATGGGAAGATCTTCTGGTAGCTCTAACAGTCAAAAGACGCATTGAGCTTTTGCATAAAGATCTAAGTAGCCCGAAGCTAATTTGGATACCACACATCTTTCTATGCATCTTTTTGTATCTTTCCGCATGAGAATAAAGTGAGAAAAACGCGAAAAGCTCCATTTTTTCCAAAATCAGCTCAAAATAGGCTTCTCACATCTTTTCGACACACCTTTTGTCAGCTAGACCGCGGCAGGGTCCACCCCACTTGTAAAGAGCTGAAAGACCGCACGGAAAGACATGCCAAACAGGGCCTAAGTTAAAAATAATTATATTTTTAACTTTTAATTCTTTTTCTTTTTTCGGATTTGAAGTTTTAGCCGGACCGGATTTGGATCCGAATCGAGCATAACCTAATTCGACCCGATTACAGCCTTTCTTTGGACCCGTTTCATGCTGCCAGTCGGATCCACAATCAGTCCTCCTTCCCGAGAAAAAGAAATCGAGATCAATGAATTTTGTTTTCTCGTATCGCGATTTGCGATAAAATGAGCGCTCACTGATTCTAGAGAATCGTCGTCCTCTCTCTCTCTCTCAGCGCAGATATCTCTTTCCATACTTGGAAGAAAATAGCTGGAAAAGCTTCAACGACAATTTTCCTCTGTTTTTCTCCTCTGCAATCTCTTCTGGTTTTGTACCTCTTTTTTTTCTCCTTCGTAAGCAAACACATATAGGTTGGCAGGGGTCTTCTTTGTTGTTGTTTGATCTTGAAACCGCCATGGAAGCGATTGGGGAGTTTCAGGACTGGGAAGTGCTCCAAAACACCGACACGCGTTCTGTTAATCCATTCGATTCCATAGAGGATTCGAGAGATCTCACAGTAATAGAAGGGGACTCTGAAGGGCTTATAAGGTCTGATTACTTCACTTTGGACTCGGAAAGGAGGTACTCGAGGACGGTTAGAGAGGGAGACCTGCACGAGGAGGGTTCTGTGGAATCGGATAATCCGAGCTGGGTCGATCCTTCTTCGGAGCCTAGGTTTGGAGATGATGTCGGAAAGGATGTGAGTTTTCAAGGGATCGCGCTTGAGCGTAGCAATTCTGGAGAGTTTTGGTCGGACTCAAGTAGCGACAGGTCGGTTTCTCAAAGATTTAGCAACTTGGAGGAAAAGAACGAGTTGGGTTGTGGATATGATGCGAAGAACGAAGTGGCTTCTGAAAAACTCGGAGAAATTGAAGTTACGAATAACGATTCTGTCAAATTTTGGTCGGTTTCAGACGCAGAAGGAAAGGGTCATCTGAAGGTCGGTGACGTTGGAGGTGAGATCAAAATGGATGTCTCCGAGTATGAGGCGAGAAGAGATGAACCAGAATTTTCAGCTGAAGTAGAGGGGGCAAATGGGTCGGAGTTGGCTGGTGCAATGGCGGTCGACGGTGGAAAGAGCTTGGACTCTGCCGGGTTTGTTGAGGCAGAGGGAAGTAATGTTATGGAAAGAACAGGGAACGTCTCAATCGAAGAGGTGAAATCGGGTGAGGGAGAGAAGAAGAGGATGGTTTGGTGGAAGCTACCTTTGGAGCTCCTGAAGTTCTGTGTTTTCAGGGTTAGTCCTGTTTGGTCATTCTCCGTTGCTGCTGCTGTAGTGGGTTTTGTTATTCTGCGAAGGAGACTGTATAGAATGAAGCGAAAGAGCCGCAGCATTACCCTTAATGTCACTGTCGAGGATAAGGTAAGTAGCTGCCTATTTGTATTGCTTCTTCTGACCGTTATCTCATTGAGCAAATTCGTAATTTTATGGTGTAAATCACTTAGATAATTTTGCCTGTATTGGTTTAGTTGTCTGTTTGATTTCTCGTAAATCCTTATTAGACAGGCAGTAACAAATTTCTTCTGGTTTAAGATTTAAGTTTTTATGAATTCTGAGAATTTTCTGCTTAGTCATCCACTGTAAAATGATTCTTTTGGCATGAGCCATTAGAATCTTATTAGCTGAAGTCGAATGAAAGAAGGGGTTGGTTGATCATTGTAAAAATCCATGTGAATGATACCCGATATTTGCAAGTATTGCCCAAGTCATACATTCAATTTTGTATTCTGCATATTGGATAGGTGGATGTTGAGTGCCTCTTTTAGGAGCTGGAGGATTTTGAAGAGCTGGGTGTCATTTCTTTTGATTTTCTGTAAATGATTGAAATCCACCAGGTCCACCACTTCCTCATCCTTGGGGTGGAGCTGTTGTTTTGGTCTCCATCTCTTCTGCAGAAAATGGAAACCTGTGCCTGTTTCTGCACCTTATAAAATAAATACTTAGGGTGTTTCTTAAGGCTGTATTAGGTACTGATTATTAATTGTTTGTGTTTAGTTCTTATCTTATTAGGCTTTCTCCTGTTGACTTGTGATCTGTATTCTTTGGCACAATGGCACCCCTTCTTTACATGTTACATTAACAATATCTAATTGCATATACTTGATATCCACATTATTAGATTTTTTTTTTAACATGTGATCGATGCAATAAGTGCATGCATCATATAAAGCATATATGGCTGTTTTCTCTTTTGATACCAGGTGTTATCTGCTATTTGACATTGCTGGGATATATATATGTGTGTATATCTATAATTTCAAGTTTGAATGGAATGAGTTCTCTTATGCACTGTATAATTTTTATACCTATTCAATTGAGAACCAATGCAAACGGGTAGCTAAATATCTTGGATGGGAAGTCTACTAGTTGCTGCCTTTTATTTAGTATTTCTGGATGCTTTCTAAAATGGGATCATTTCGTGTTTGTTTCAGATAGCACTTGAAACCATACACAGTTAAATGAAAATGAGTATATTTCTTAAAATACTCATCTTGTGTTGCCATTCCTATTCATGTCGCAACTAATCAGACTATTAGTCATTTTTCTAATACATAAAAGAAACAGAGAGCCAATTGATAAAAAAAGGGGGACAGTGAGCCAAAGGGGGAAGAGAAATGGCTGGGTGAAACAATAGGTGGGTTTCAACTGTAATGAATTGGGATGCAGGCTTGATGCAGAGTGCTTGGGAGGAAAACCCTAATTGTGCATAAATTGTGTGGAATTGTCATGGATATGCTAAATTGATTCAACACCCATTAGGATTGGAATCAACCCTACCTAAGGAAGATGAGAAAGCAATACTTCATTCAAAGACAAATTAAATAATGGGTAATTATCTAAAACTCCCTTTCATTTTCCCCATTTCTCTTAAATTACCCTGACTTTTCAAAACCTCCAGACCCTATCAGAGAATTTTTGTTATCAAAACTTGCCTTCCATCAGGTAACCCTTAATGACCATTAATTATTTTTAATGACCAAACTAACCTTGACCTCTGTTAAATAATTGTTTAAAAAAGAACAGGCAAGAAAACAAAAAATACCAAGGGTTTGGAAAAAGAAGCCAAATCCCTATCAGAGAATTTTTGTTATCAAAACTTACCTTCCATCAGGTAACCCTTAATGACCGTTAATTATTTTTAATGACCAAACTAACCTTGATCTCTGTTAATTAATTGTTTAAAAAAGAAAACAGGTAAGAAAACAAAAAATACCGAGGGTATGGAAAAAGAAGTCAAATGCTGTAACACATTTTAACAGTCGGAAATCATTTAGAACAGTCCAGATTTCAAAACTTTTTGCAAGATTAAAAGGGGGTTTGTTTGGAGTTGGACCCATAATAAGGTGAAGAAGTCAAAGAGCATCATTAGGAGAAGTAAAGAGGCCCCATTATAAGTTGTTGGTGAGAGGAAAGATTGTTTCTTTCTCATTGATGTTTGGTGTAGTCATGTCCTGCTTCAGGGCTTTGGGGGTTTGGGTTGGTTTGTTGTTTTGGCTCTTTTGCTTTTTGGTTAATTGCTGAGTTATTTAGGGGATTGGTTGTTCGGGCTAGTCCTTAGAGGGAGTCTGGATCTGCTCCCCACAAAGCACTCCTCACACCAACCTCACAGCACGTCCCAGCCACACATCGGGAGCATCTCCCATACTTGTATGTTATTATTCATGGGAGATCTTCCCAATACACAGTGGGTTGTGGCTGTGAGGTCGGTGTGAGGAGCGCTCTGTGAGGAGCAAATCCCATTCCCTTAGAGGTGTAGTTGTCTCTCCTTTTCCAGGTGACTGCTGGTCACCTTTCTTTGTATTCTCTTTTTCTTTTTTAATAATTTTTCATTTATTATCAAAAAAATTGTCAAATAGAAAAGGATAGAAGCACTAATCCTATGGCTCCTATGAGTATAATGTCTCTCATTTGGAGCTTGGAACAATTTCTAGACAAGAATGGAACCAAATTGCTTATTTCAGTGAAAACCTAAATGATGCACAGAATAATAATTCAAGGTACAAGGTACAATTTTACTTCATAACCCAAGCACTGAAACATTGACCGAACTACCGTGTTACAAGAGCTTGTGCTATTATATGAAGACGAAGCCTTTAGGTATTTAAAATAGTGGAGATGTCTGAGTCCAAGAATTGCAAGGTAGGTTTCTACAATTTACTTTTCACTTAAAACATATGGCAGGTCTGGAGAATGTAGCAGTTTGATGCCTTAAATCAATGAATTTTTTTTCTTATGCTTATTAAGAATTTCTATAATAGTTTTAAGGGTTGTAGCCATTTTAATCTATTGATGTAGACACTGAACAAACTGATGACAAGATTTGTCTTTGACCCAATATATTGCATTCTGCTTTTTAGGTCCAGAATAATTATCTCTTGTATAAAATTTATGTCTGTATCCCAGGGGTTCTCTTTGGAAACATATTATCCTTGAACTGCATGAAGGTAGATTGAGTGACCATTTCAGATTTGATAAAAACAGAAAGATTTTCTTGTAATAGTTTGAAGAAAGATATTGGTGATGTTATGAAGAGATGTTGAGTTTTCCAAATTGGAACAAGGGGAAGAGGAAACACAAGTTAGTGTTGGCTTCTACCTGTACCTGCAATGCCATGGCATGGAGTTTTTTCTTGGTTTGCCAAGATGCTAATGCAATTTAGAGTCTCCAAAATGGCATACTTCATTCCATGCTAGAAGACCTATGATGTGATCTCATGTACAAGTATCTCCTTGACGCTGTATTTGGTTTGATAAAAATAAGAGAGAGCCACAGGTTGAGGGTATGTTCTTAATGAATTTCACAAAATTTATTAAGAATTCCCTTTCATCTTTCTTTTTCTCTCTTATTTTCTATAAGACCAAACATAGCCTTTAGGAGGTTCTTTGTTTACTTGGGTTTTTGTTGTTTAGTATTTGTAGATAGAGATGTCAAATATATTAGCTACTTCCAAGAGACTTTGTGGACATTAATTATTACCAAGTTGATGTTTTTGATGCTCATCAACCTTGGGTATAATGGTCAGAGGAAGATGGTTAATTAAAGTTTGGGAGACCTCTTTCTATCTATGTACAAGAGAGAAAATGCCAGTTAGGATACAGTAGTTTCATAAGCAGAATACTCATAATAGTTTTATAAATCGAACTGCTGGAAAAAAAAATAAAAAATCTACATTCTTTTTGAGCTTATAGTATTCAGCCAAATCAGCCAGTGGTTACTGAAAAGAAGCTGGTAACCTGGAACCAGTGCATGGCATATCCAAGAAGGTGATTTAGTGTTCATACATACATTCAAGGAACAGATTCTTCATGGAATTTTTCACAAGTTGCATGCAAAGAAGGCTAGCCTGCTTAAGGTTTTGAAGCATTCTGGACAAAACACTGCACTTTTTTTGGATATGAGCATTAATTGAATCTTTAATTTGAAAACCTATCTACATATTGTAGACATGATTTTTTTTTGCCCCAAGAGTGAAATGCACGTTCTAGAATCACTGAATAAGTACCATAAAGAAATTGAAGCAATATTTAGCACCAAGTGGATTGTATTTGACCAGAAAATTATCGAAGGTTATTGGTGAAATAGGAAGATGTGGCTGCAAATAGCAGGTGAATCAAGGAAAAATATTATAGCAATTGAACCTAGACTTCTTGTGAAACTATTGACTTCTAAACATAATGGAAACGAGCTCTTCTTAAAAGGAAGGATTGGTGATGTCTAGCTAGCGGGCCCAAATTTAGTTTGTCTTTTATTTGTTATTTTTTAGATTATTTATTGGGTTCGGAAATAGAAAGTTAGTTTAGAGCTATTTTGGGGAAGTTATTTTATTAGATAATGTTAAGTCAAAGTATCTTCAGGAAGACCCTTATCTATCAAGGTTATTATAATCTTGTGGGTAGCATTGCTTGGTGCAGTGGTAAAACCTCAGACTGGCAACCATGATTATGTGGACAAATCAGAGGACCCACTCCCAAACTCCTTTGTACATCTATCACAATTGAAACTCTTGATTATGTTTGTGGCCATCAAAAGCCTAGGACCATCAACAATAAAGGGCTATTGTAAAAGGAGAACTCCCATTAATCATCAGGAGAATCTTATTATGCTTGAAAACATGTGAACATTGTAAAACAGGACTATTCTTGTATAGCCCCAAAGTTCTGCTACATGTCAATGATAATTTGTATTCATGTACAGCAAAATTGTGATGGAATAATGGCCTACATGTCCTCTTGGAATTAATGCTGCTTATAGGAATTTATTTATTGTCATTTGCCTTTTCTTCTTGGGAATCTATGCCTTCTGTGTTCCATTTCTGATGGCTGTGAAATACGCAGAAGGTGTCTCAATTCATGAGCCGTGCTGCACGTCTCAATGAAGCTTTTTCAGTAGTGAGACGTGTCCCCATCATACGACCTTCGCCGCCAATGGGTGGGGTAACTCCATGGCCAGTCATGGGGCTGAGATGAAGTCCATTTTGCTGTAGATGAGGGGTAAAGAGAGTTAATCCACCTATATAAATATGCAGGTTTGGAGGTGAGAAGCTCTGGTTTTATATTATAATTGTGTATGAAGTTGCTAAATAACTTGTATGCGTATTTTCTTTTCTTCTTTTTTCATTGAGTGTCAACACTGTCTGTCATACTATATGGGCACAATTTAGATTGGAACACAGTCAAGGGACTGTGTTCCTGCTATTTCTTGGTCTTCCAAGTAATATTCATGTTCAGCAATGGATGGTTGGATACCCATCCATCTGTTGGTGTAATTGAAACGGGTATAATCTAATCCGTGGGGTTTGATGAAAATCAGGATGTCAATTTAATACCACAAGATACCAGAGTCAATTTATTTTCCAATTTGCCAATGCAATATTGGTTTTATATGACATCTTTCCCAATGATTTATTAGAAGCTATCTTCAGTTGCCGACTGAAAGCTTGTTTTCTGATACATGGATCACCTAATGTAGTATGAAACTATATATTGAAGCTTCCTAATTTTGCCGGTTCAGTAGTTCATTATAGTGAGCTTCATGATTTTGTTCAGTGACTCGATTCAGGGTCACAAGGTTTATCATTGACAGAAAAGGAAAAAAGCTACAGTATTATGGTTGATACACCTCCTACTCATGCCAAACAATTTAAATGGCTGTTCAGGGTTTCACTTATACTTTTGGACAGAGAAAAGGTTAACTCCATATTCGTGAACCATAAGAGGCAATGAATGGGTGAAAGGATCTCAACACCAGTGGCTTCTTATCAGGTTTTGTACCATCAATGAATAGGTGAACTGATCAAATGGTGGTTTTCGCTTGACGCAGCTCTCCTGGACTTGCATATTTGCATGTGGTCGGTTTACCATAGTAAGGCCATGTTTGGGAGTGCTTATGTTAAAAATAAGTTCTGACTCGAAATCTCACTTGGCAATTGGCATCCACCCTTTTCAAGTGCTTATTTTAAAAAATAAGTATTTATTTTATATTGGGTGTTTGGTGGTCTTTTTCTCCAATAAACACTTAGATAAATACTTGTGACTTTTTTGTTCGTCATTTTCTTTCAAATTTTTAAAATATCCAATTCAAAGTGAATGAATAAAGTACTTTACTTTCGTAAAAGTGCTTTTTACAAAAGTACTTTGATATAGTACTTTTATACAAGGTTCAAAGTATCGACTCGTATCGGTTGATACGTATCATTCCGGGACTTCCCTGATACACCCCTACAGTGGATATATTGGGGGTCTGACCGGTTAAGGGGGTGGAGGAGCCCTAAACCGGCCCCCTTGAACCGGTTTTGGAAAAAAATTAAAAAAAAAGAGGGTATCTATTCACCCAATATGCCCCTACCGGAGTATTGGGCGTATCGATATTTTTAACCTTGCTTTAATAAAAGTGTTTTTATAAAAGTAATTTAATAGAAGTGTTTTTATGAAAATATTTTCATAAGTGTTCTTATAAAAGTATTTTTATAAAAGTGCTTTTGTAAAAGTTTTTTTTTTAAGTATTTTTATAAGAGTATTTTGTTTTCATTAGTGTTTTCGTAAAAGTATTTTAGTTTTCTAAAAGTAACAATATTAAAAGGGTATTATTGGTATTCTAAAAATTTATCGGGAACAAATTATGAGAGAAAAATTTTGAATAACTGCTTATTGTATGATCACTTGCAAAAAGCTGGAAATTTAGACTTAAAAAATAAGCACTTATCAAAAAGTGCTTAATGGTGTGATTCTAACCCAAATAATTGCTTATTTTTAAACACTCCCAAGCATGGCGTAAGACTTACATGCATTGGACGGTTAAACCGGTGGCTACCGACGTAGTGACCATTCTGAGTCCCAGTTGAATAATGGGTTTTAGTTTTTACGGTTTGAATAGGTTAACTGCCTGGTAACCGGTATAACTGTGATGCAGTGAGCATTCAGTTTTATGTCTGGTCGTAGTCTTACAAAATGATGATGAAATGATAAAGCAAGAGAGCAAGCTTCGAGGACCAAAAGTTTTCTTCACGCAGTTGGTTCACCAAGTTACCTCAGGCATTATAGGGCGGTAGTAGTTCAGACTTCATGGTGGCCTGTAAGATCTAAACGGGTTATTTTAGTTGGGCAAATTTCATGGAAAATGTACATTACTTCGGAAGCCCATTAGGCTCCGTTTGGGAGGAGTGCAATGCCAGTTTAGTGCATATAGTCACTCTAGTTCAGTTTTGTTGATGTTTGGTAAGAGTTCACGTGAATTGAAAATGACAGTAAATACAGATATCTAAGACATTTGTTTTCAAAATAAGAGTAAAGTTTGCATCTAAAAAAGGGTTGACTATAATATGAAAAATATATGATATCTGAAAAACTTTTGACCAGTCAATTGGTATCATAAATGTGGTAGCCAATCAGTTGTTATTTATCAAAATTTATGGGTGGATTTTGATTGGTCAAAACTTTTCTCATGCCATATCTTTTCCGCATCACAGATTTTTCCTCATGCAAACATTTGCATTTCAAGTTTATCAATACAAAAAAGGTGGATTTTACTCTTCAGATTCATGTTTGTATCTATCACAATGAAAAATCATTTGGCAATAATACAAAATTATCATTATAAAATCAAATTTTCATTTTTTATGAACTAGACTAGACATATTTGCATTTGTACAAAACATTTGTTATTTGCACTTTTTCCAAATGGAGCCTTGTGCATTATGAGTTTCATTCTCCCATTCAGATTTTTACTCGTATGGTATAATTATTTTTTTCCTTCACCATTATTGGATGTTCATCCAAGTGATGTTAATGTTCTTTTCACTTTTTTCCTCTTAGAAACAGCCTTTTTGTGTATTTGCAGAGGTAAGGCTGCATACATCTGTCTCTCCCCAAACCTTGCATTGGGGGAACCTGGGCTGCCTTCAAATCATCATTGAAAGCTTTGGCTATTGTAATTTATGAAACATAGATACAATTTACTAAGGGGTAAGGGAAGGGAGTTCGGATCTGCTACTCACAGAGTGTGCCTCACACCAATCTTACAGCACGTTTTCGCCGTGCATCTGGAATCCATGTTTATAATTTTTATTCATGAGGAGAAGTTCCAGATGCACGGCTGAAACATGCTGTGAGGTCGGTGTGAGGCACACTCTGTGAGGAGCAGATCTGAACTCGAGAGAAGGCAGTCCAGCAAGTAGCCTCCAACAACAGTTGTTTGGGGAAGCAGCTTAGGCCTAAAGACTGGGATAACATAGATCTATTAGTATTTTGGTTCTAATATAATTTGTTTGGCCGAATTCAAGTTCTAATCTGGCCCAATTTGATTTTATAGTTGGATTGAGTATGGATCCTCTCCAATTTAAGCCAATAAATATCATTATCATCATTATTGTCATCATCGTCATCATCATCCATGCCTATTACCAACTATATTGGGGTCAGCTACATGAATCCTATTTCGCCAATCCATTCTATTTAAAATCATATCCACTGTTAAGAGGATGTACAAAGTCCTTGATAGAAGGAAAAATGAATAGAGCATGAAGTTAACATAAACCTAGTTGTTATCATTTGACCTGGTCATTTTAACGATAACCCACGAGCCGGTCATAATATTGGCGGCTCCAATTATAGACAAAAAAAGGTAAATTTCTGAAATCCTCCCCCCCCCCCCCCGAAGTTTAGTAATTATAATCACCTCCCTTCTTTCTGATACAGTTGCAAGTAGACCCCTCTAATAGAATCTTCTAAAAAAAGGGATGAAAATGCCCAAAATACCCATACAGTTACTATTGAGTCTGGTTTCTACCAAAAGCAAAACAATATACACTTTATGAACAATAAAAATAAAGAATTTAAAGTTGCAACCCTTTGAGTGATTGATTTTATGGGCAAATTTGAAAAATAGATCAATTCACAAAAGAGATTAGAAGGGTTTGGGGTAGTGATTCATATGAAGAGATTTTGGAAAATAAACATTTTTGTCAAAGCAACTGCATAGGCATTTCAGACAGTTTTGTGCCTCTTTTTAGAAGATTCTACCAGAGGGGGTCTACTTGCAGCTATGTCAAAAAGTTCAGGGGAATTGACTCCAATTACCAAACTTCAAGGGAGGTTTTAGCAATAATCAGAAACTTCAGGGGAGGTTTCAGCAATTTACCTAAAAAACAAGGTTAATTTGGTCAAAGATCCAATGACTCAGGTCGTTGAACTATTGACTGATCAGCATTACTTGACTACTTGGCTACTTGTTATTCGTTTCACTTATTTTTGTTTACTGTTGAGCAAGGTTTTCAAACCGTTGTTGATTCAGACAGCCAGACCATTTTGGCTAAAAACCAGTTAGGGTATCAGTTCTGTTTCACACTTTCACTCTTGAACTGTTATTTTTTTCAAAAATTGTTGAATTGGTCAGAGATCCATTAATCCGAAAGCAATTGAACTGTCAACCTGTTCAACTTGGACAATAATTTTTGGGTCAAATTGTTATATTATTTTTTTTTTAAAAACATCATGAGCTGATTTATTTGGATCAAATGGTCGAATAGCTGACCTGAAATCCAATGGTCAAAGCAGTCCCGTTTTTTGGTTGATTTTAAAAATATTGGTGATGAATTAGGAGATATCTAAAAAGGTCCACTTTGTTCATAGTCAGAATTAAAATGGGAATAGGATTCCAATTCCAAACCCATACTCCTATGAACCACCCTAATCTTTTTATAAGTTTCTTCATTTTTTTCTGCACAAAGTTTTCAATTTTTGAAACACTCCATAGACAATTTTAAAGTTATTTTTAGTTTATTTCATTTGTATCATGCTATATAATTCTTATACTTGGTCTATGTGTAGCAATATTTTAAAACCTGACCAGGAAATAGAATTACTTTGGCCACCAGTTCTTGGGTCAGCTATTCGACCATTTGATCTGAAAGGATGATTCATTATAATTTAAAAAATTAAAAAGCAAAAAATATAATTAAAATAAAAAAATTTCCAAAAATCATTGGTCAGGTGGAACTGATAAAAAATTCGACCACCTAAGTCAAGTCACTGACTAAGTTAATAGTTTTTGACAAAAAAATTGTTACAGGGGTGAAATGAAACCGGTTGCCACCGGTTGCCTAGACAATTTCCAGGCCTATCATCCAGGTCAAGGACAGTTCGAAAGTCATGATGTGTAGACCATGTCATGCTGAGTAAAATCACAACAGTAGCTTTAAGGTTACTTGTTTGTACTCTTTTATTTATGGTTTTTGAACCGTTGTTGATCGAACGATCGAACCGTTTAGCTCAGGAAACATCCAGGTAACTGGTTCCGTTTTACCCCAGGTGGCCAAAACAATTCCATTTCTGAATCATTTTTTAAAACCATGTTTTTATCTTACACTAATGAATAGCACGTGCTCTTGTAGTAGGTAGTATAATATAAATAATTTAAGAAATGCCACAAACTCCTCTGTGAACTCTTTA